GAAATGAGTCTGTCACAAAAAGATAAATAGTCAAACTCATAAAGAGAAAGTAGACTGGTAGTTGCCAGGAGTTTGGGGAGGGAGAAATGGGGAGTTGTTGTTTAATTTGACCTTTTATCTGACTTCTTTCAAAAAGATACTGAATTCCCCTTAGTTCTAGAGGTCATAGCAACTACGCCCTTTTAGGCAATCAATGCACAAGAATTATAAATCTTCTTTGTGGTGTTTGGTGTATTTTTTTTTTAAGCTTCTAAAAATTTTCTACATTTGAAGAATGAAAGAAAAGAGAGATTGAAGAAAAGAAGAAATTACAACCTAACCTTGTAACTTTGCAACTATCTCAGTGGAGGAGATGAAACTGACCCATTTTAGCTACAGAGCATAAACTACCTCCAGAAGGTAGCATATATTGGTCTGTGACAAAATTTTTGTTTAGAAAGCTTTTCCTTTTGAGATCATAAAACTGTGATCTCAAAATTAACAAATATTCTCTCATTTGGGGGGTGTCATAACTAAATGGTTACCAAATCCAGCACTGAATTGCCATTAGAATTATCACTACAAATCTGCTAGAGCAGATCACCCAGTGACTACTATGTATCTTCAAATTCTCCAAGGATATCTTTATGTGCAGCCTATGTGGGAAAATCACTCAAAGGAAGGACAGTTATGAGGAAGGCTGCCTGAGCACATGCTCTAACTTCTCTCCACTCTCTCTCTCTTCCATAGCAGTACTAAAATGTTCAGTAACTAGCATGCAGACGAGAAAAGTAAGGAATTTCTGGAATATATAAAACAGATGGAATCAGTAAAACCCAAAATTGCTAAAAAGCCTTAAATGAACAGGATGATTACAGTATAAACTGGTCATTGTTGCTGGCAAGGCCTCAGAATATACCCTAAATCAGCCACAACCGGTTTGGCTCTGTGGATAGAGTGTTGGTCTGCAGACTGATGTTTCTAGATCTCTATCCCTTTCCTTTCCTCTCAGTAAAAAATCAATAAAATATATTATAAAAAAAAGAATATACCTAAATCAGAGGCAGCAAGTGTTAGCAGCAGATATGAGTCACCTGTCAGTAATTATTGAAGGGTTTGGTGACAATCTGCTAGCCTCTCACTCTCAGATTGGCTAACTACTGAACTATCTCCAAAATGGAGAGAGGACAGTGATCTGGTTAAGTTCTGGTGGCAGAGATGAAAAAAACACCTGCATTCTCAGAAGGCAAGTTTTTGTGCACATTCTAAGGGAAATCTGACTGGGTAGACATCCCTCCATTCTCCCTATCCTATATCTCCTGCAGACAGAAATCCTATACTCACAATTTTCATTCACAGTGATTTATTTTTTTTAATGTTTAGAAACAACTGGATCTTTATTTTTTTTTAATCTTTATTTTAAAAGTATTACATATGTCCCCTTTTTTCTCCCATTTACCCTTATAGCCAATCCCTGCCTCCCACTTTAACTGATGTTGAGGAGGAAAAACAACAGAAAAAAAAAAAAAAACACACAACTCCATTTAGCCTCTCATTTATAAATATATAACTACCATGCACAAAATCATGGCAATAAAGAAAAAAAGAAACAAAGAGTATTTTTGTTTCTTTCTTTTGTTTAGAGAACAAATACAGGTATTAGGCTCCAAAAAAAAAAAAAAAGTAAATTCTAGAAATCAAAGAAAACTTTACCCCATTCATAAAATAAGATTCACTAGATAAAACATAATAATTACTTGGAAATTACAAGCATAAGAGCCAAGAAAAAACAAAATGAATCACCCAAACAGCACCCCAGAAGATGAGGTGAATAATGGAATTTAAGTGATTCCTTTGATTAACCACAGAATATTTCTCTTAAGATAACCATCAAAAAAATGTACTTTGGAAGGCCCCTTCAGCACTCTGTGAGCCTGAGGGATGCCCAGGATTATTATGGTTTGAGAGGAAGTAAGGAAGGGGAGGGAAAGGATCTCACTGCAGTCCCCCAAAGAGTAGACTTAGTGAGTCCACCCTGAGCCTCTACATCCATTTTGCCCAAGTATGTCCTGTGCCTTTAATGTCCCAGTACCCTTTACTTTACTAAGCCTACTCTGCACTTAGGGTTCAGTGCAGGAACCATCTACCTCAGGGAAGGCTTCCTTCACTTCCTGGCTGATTTACATTTTCTGATATTGCCACAACTAAGTTTAACCAACTGAATTATAATTATCCATTCATGTCTCTGTCTTCCTCATGTTCTGAGGGATAACTTAACCAGAAGCACTGAATCTATTCAGATACATAGACTTGAGTATTGGTCATTCATTCTCTATATCTTGCATGCCTACTGATTGAACTAAATGCACTGTTCTAATATCAGCAGGGAAATATACAAAAAGTCTTCTGTCCACCTAAACTCATCATTAAATATAGGTACCTATTCCATCCATTATTGTAGCTCTCTGAGTTCAATAAGGTAACATCATATTTTGGAATTTCCACCAGAAAGGTAATTATTATGATCTAATAACTTATGCAAATTTATTGAACCTTTAAGAATCCAATAAATGGTTAAAACCTAGATGCCCTACTACATAATAGTCATTGCATTTTTTTTTTGTCTCCCTACAATGGATACATGGTTGAATATTCATTTGTGAAAAAACTATCTGAGTGTTTTTCAGGAGTCCTAAAAGGTACCGACTTGCAGCTTTACAGTGCTGTTTCTGTTCCTCTTGACCCCTGTTACCTCTGGGCCACTGAACTGTAAAAACAAGCAAGTCTGTTATTCCAGGATTATAGGAGGGTACTTGGGCCCTGAAAAATACTACAAGTACCACTATAGATCATCTGATGCCTCAGTTATCCGAGATATTTGTGTCCTGAGTAATGTTCACAGAAATGTTTTCAAGGCTTGAACTCCAATTTTCACTCACACTCAGACCCACTATATTTTCTATACCATTTCCTGAACCATGAGTATCAATATGAACAGAGCAGAAAATGTACTCAGACTCAGAAATAGATCAGCTGGAAATAGCAGAGGAAGAAGGTGAAGGGCTAAGCCCATGTAGAAACAGAGAAAACAATAGGAAAAAAATTAAATTCCTGAAATTGTTGACTCATTTTTATCACTATTTCTTGCAAAATAGTGCATTTTAAAGGAAATTATATTCATTACATTAAGCATATCCTTATTTTGCTGGGTAAAACTCCTTTACAGTTGGGGGGAAAAAAACCTCCCTAAGTACAAACAATTAAAACCAACTCCCTATAGACCCGGTGTCACTGAGCAAAGGCTCCTTATCAGATGCACATAGAAGCCAACACTATGGCACTGGCTTTGAGAAAAGAAAAGGCTTTTGTTTTGCAAGTGGAATAAGAAGAGTCAAATCTGTCTTCCCTATCAAGGGTTTGGGGCAGGATTAAGGGGTTTCAGCGCTGGATCTTCCTAGACAATGGACTTTTCATTTATGAAAGGGATCCCAGGATCTGGTCATGTTTGGTCTTTTGCTTCCATGGGGTAGCAGTTAAGAGTGCACAAGTGTTACTCATGATTGGTGGTCACAAGTTTTGCTCACAAACTTTGCTTCTAGATCTTGCTAGAAACAGAATAGGACCAGTCTAAATTGGTTCTGGGGTGCATCAAGGATTTCAGAAGTTCAGATGTCCTGGGGCTCTCGGAATAGCATAATCCCTATACCCAAATTTATATATCTCTTTAAATTATCCCCACAAACAATACAAAAAGCATAGTACTGAGTTCCACCACAGGCTGGGGGATCCTAAGGGTCTTCAGTACCTTAAATAATTAATACTGTGACACAAGAGAAACAACCTATTGTGAGAATAAGGAACTATCCTCTCAAAACAGATGTTAATGTCCTTTAAGTAGAAATTCCTTAAAGAAAGTCGAGTGCCCCTTGTACTGCCATTTGAAAAATAAATCCTACCTCCTCAACAAGATAGAAAGGCAGATGGAAGAGCATTCAACACAAACTGAAAAAAAAAGAAAAAAAAAGATAAAAAGTCTTCCAGAAAACTTTAATGCTTTTCCATAGAAAATAAAAAAAGAAGGTTTTAAGGTATCTTCTTTGAAATAATGCCTATTTGTAAAGTTCACCATTTGGATTTAATCTCTAATGCTTAGAAATACAGCATAGGGATACAGGTAATACAAGTCTGATAAAGGAGGAAAAAGATGAAAACAGAAAATGCACAAAAACAAACTAATTTTTAATAATCAAAGTATAGGCCTAGAGGCCAGGAAGAGATGTGTTTTAAACCCTTTTATTCTTAATTCTTACCAAAGAACAGCCTTGAAGTAAAACTAAAGAATTTAGGAGTAGTTATGAAACCCAGTTCAAACTAAGTGGCTAGGGGGAAGAAGGAAGAAGGAAAAGAAAAGAATTCGAGAAGGAATAGAGGTCCCTTCTCACTGAAAAATCTGACTGTTTCAGCTCCAGTTCTGAAATCTCCCACATTGACCCATTGACAGTGAGGGAGACTTTATCACAATATAAAGAATTATATGTTTCAAATATTTGTAAAGCAAAACTTATACATTCATATATATGTTAGTATATAGTCTCTTGGCAGCATTCATTCTAAGTAGGGATAACTAGCAAATGTCTCTGACAAATACAGCCAGCTATATCAAAACTACTTAGTAGATAATTTATGAAAGAAATTCTAATTCAACTGACCAGTGAGATAAGTGTCAAACAAAAGATAGCAAAATTTATGTTGAAATTTCCACATTTTACAAAAGAGCAACCTCAAGTATAATGGAATAAAAAGCATGTTACATAAATTTCATTATTTTAGTATGAGAGGCACTGATACACACAGAGCTTTGTTTTTCTACAAAGAACTTTGTCACCAATGGCCCTATCATTTTCCAATTTAAAATCTCACATGTCAATAAATTCTCCAAGGTACTTACAATCTTAATTTAAAACACTATAAACTACACAATCAAGTTATTAGTAAATGACAAATTGTGAGTTTCCACTTACTTAGATATATTGTTGAAGCTGAGAAACAGACGTTGGAGGCAGGGTAAATTATCCACATCTCTCTAGAAGGAAACAGAAAGCAAAATTTATCAGCCAAAAGCAAAAGAAATATTATAAATGCCTTCTTGCTCAGCTGTTGAAATAAATAGTCAATTCTATTCACTGCAACCTTGCTAGACCAAAGATTTCTCCTGGACATTGAGCTCCATTCTTCTCCACTGCAGATTAAAGGGGAGGGTTTCAGAACATCCGCAGCACAAGCTGCACCACTCACAAGGTAAAGCACTGACGAGAACAGAGAGATGCTGCTGCTAGTCTCTTTAAGCATGCTTTTGGGAAAGAAGCCAAAATGCTTCTTCAGCATTTGAACATAGCACAAATGTAGTATGATCAAACATTTGTTAAAATTCATTTTTAAAAGGAAGCCATTCTAATGCTTTAAATTTTAAATTTATGCAATTTGCTTTCCAAATAGTACTAGAATTTCAAAGCAATTTACCTCACTATTCTGAAACCTTTGGAAATATACCACTCAGTTACAAATGAACAAAGCACAAACAATTCCTCCATAAAACTAAATGCAGATCATAGTGTCACTGAAAGGCACCATAAGGGCAATTTCCATTCTAAACAAGAATCGGAGGTTCTTGTAATTGGAACTTTACCCTTTTCTGTTAAGGTACAGCACTCAGAAGCAAACTTCTGCTGTTTACATGTAATTACAGTCAGCAAATATTGAAATTTTTGGCCCAAATTACTTCTAAAGTATTTTTATTGATTTTTAGAGAGAGAGGAAGGGAAAAGGAGAAAGAAAGATGAGAGCAGAACACTGATTATCTGCCTCCAGCACACCCTATATGGGGGATCAAGCCCACAACCCAGGCATTACCCTGACTGGGAATCAAGCCAGTAACCTTTTGGTGCACAGGATAATACCCAACAATTGAGTCACACTGGCCAGGGCCCAAATGATTTTTTAAAATCATAAAATAAAGTTACCTAATCTCATTAAATGAAAAGACACAAACCTTCTGAAAAGTATGACATACTGGAGTGACAGTTAAGTGGAAGTTTAGTCTGCAACATCATTATTCACATAAGAAAAAGTACACAGTCGAAATTGTTGCAGAGGTAGGGTGGAAGTGGAAGGGAAGGTAACTCAGGATTTCATACTATCCTAGAGGCTGAGAGCACAAGATTCCAGTTATCCTGACTTCCAATTTAAAATCTCACATGTCAATAAATTTTTAAAACAGCACATGGGTCCTCCAGCCTTCTCTCAACCCCTTAGGCCCTAAAGAGTGTAAAACAAATATAACTGCAGTTATCAAATCACCCACTCAGTACTCCATTTATTTGGCCCACCCCTGAGTTAGTGATTGTGAATTTGCTTCCATCTGTGAGTTAGCTGTGAGTTAGTGTTTTTAGAGCTTATCAACCAAGGTCAAAAAATAAGTCTGCATAAAGCAGTCCCTGCAGTGGGTGATAGGCTCCACATGTTGGCAAACTTCTTGAACCACCTCTACCACCTACCTCACTCTCTGATATTCCCAGAAATGAGAGGGGAGTGGGGTGGAGGAGTGATAGATTAGTAGTAGAGCTAATTTTATTCCAGGGCTCTATTTTCCAAAGGAAATGGTAGCTTGCTTCCTATCTGCTCTCCAGAAGTATGGAGTCACAACCTAAATGAAAACCCTCTCTATGCTCTTGGGGAATCCCTTCTCCCAATTCTTCCTGGAATCTACCTGAGATTTGCTGACATCCAACTGGAAGAAACTGAGTAGTAGCCTGGAATTCCACTAAATCAAGGCATCTTTTAAAAATTTATTTTTTGTCTCTGAGCTCCAGCCTACCACCTCCAAAGACTACAGACACCTTTCAAGACATATTTTTTAGCTTTTAAAATATAAAATCAAATTAGATCAGGTGATAATTTGTGAGAAAAGTTTTTTAAACTTTATTTAAGTTATAATGTTTTATATTTATCTTCATTTATAAAATAAAATTTAGCATGTCTTTATCAAATTTTCAAAATCAATAACTGTCATGACCTAATAGAGTTATAAAAAATATTCACAATAAATTGAAAAGCTAAAAATCAGAATTCAACTACATATATAACCACTTCAATAAACAGTCTTTCCAGCAGTTTAAAAAGCAAAATAATTACACAATCATTTTTGTTGTTCCAAATTTCACCTTTTAAAGAATATTATAACTTTCCTTTAATTTTTCTAGCAATTCAGAGGTATACTTTGTAATGAATTCTTAGCATAATTATGAGGGAATCAGTATTCAACAATCTGTTTACTAAAAATGTTTAATTATTTTGGAGTGATGGGGAAAGGAGAAATTATGTAAAAAAGCTAAATCCTCATAACTTTGAAAAAAAGTCACCAAATTTCATTGCCAAACATTAAACTCAACAGTTCTTTTGGAGATAACAATATCATAGGCAGAAAAACTATGGCAAAGAGGCAATAATGTTAACATATATAACATGAGAATAAAATAAAATGTTTATATACAGAATATTTATAGTTCATTTGTTATTAATCTGCTCATAGTCTCAAATTTACTATATTTAACAAATTGCAATTCTGAGAATCACATTCAAAACTTCTTTGAAGATTCAAAACTATTTTATATATTTAAAAAATATAATCATTTTAAAATGGATTTAAATAAAACTACAAAATTATTGAGATTATAATTATTTTTCAAAAGCATAATAACTTGCATTTGATAAATATCCTTGTTCTATTCTGCTCAGTGTTTTTCACATTCTTAAACTTCACAAAAGAATTAAATGATTTAGCATTTTGACCATGTGTATAACATCTATTTCTGGAGCTATTTTTAGAGGTGCTCCTGCAGAGGAATAAGGAAGAAGAAAGGCAAAGAGACAAAAGCTTTGGCATGTATCAAGTAGAACAAAGATGGCCATAATAAAATCACAGTTACTCTCATCTTGTTATTTAGTCTGTCATACAAAAAAAAAGTCAGAGTAAAAAATTTATAGAGGTGATTGATTTAATTTTGAGAACTGGAAACATATTTATTAACAAAGCATAATAAATTTGGGGGGGAAAGAAAAGTTACATTTTTATTAAAAGGTTTATTAAATTAATTTCAACATGCTTACTTGCTACAGTCATCACTTTGTGACAGAGACACATATTACATGAGGATAATATGTGTAAGCAATCACATCAATGACTCTAATCATATACAGTGGAACCTTGGTTCTTGAATTTAATTCTGAACCAAATTGTTCAGAAATAGGAGATGGTAGAGAAAGGTTTGACTAAGTTTAAATGCCAGTGAAGAAAAGCCCATTATTTGGTCTGTTACCCAAAGGCATTAATATCCATATTTGCTTTTTATACTTGTTTACTACCCTTTAGATGGCAATAAGTATCAGTCAATCTAGCTGCAAGTTACTCTTTAAGTAACTCTTTTCTTATATGCACTGTTGTAAATCCTCTCACACAAAGAAAACAATAAAAGGGAACTGGAAATTATACTGGTAACAGCCATTGAGTGTCTGACTACAAAGATTCTAGTCTTTATAATCTAGGAGAGATAGATTTAATAGCTATGAGGAAAAAAAGAAAAAGGCCTCAATTTCATAATCATAGGTTTTTCCTCATTTGAATTTGTAGTTCAAATTTACATTACATGCTTGATCTAACAAGATGCCTCATAAAAAATAGTCCTTAGCATTCATGCCCCTATCACTCCTGGCAAAACTTGCTGAAAGACACAAACTCAACTCAGACTTTAATAACATTCTGACTATCTCAAACTACTAACCTATGGGGGGGAAAAATATTAGAATGAGCAAGAGTCAGTAGAAATTTCAGAAAGCAGAGAGAATCCAAGATGGCTGCTCGGGTAGGCACCTAGCCGCAGCCGCTCGCAACAATTTCAATAAAATACAACTAAAATATAAAATGGACATCACCCAGAACTACAGGAAAGTTGACTGACTGGAAATTCTACAACGAGAAGCAAGGAGATAACCAGAAGGAAGCGCGGAGGAGCTGTAAAAGCCCAAGGTAAGGAGACACGCGGCACGCGGAGAGGACGGGGCCGGAGAGGAGGGAGCGGAGTGCCTGGCAGGAGTTCCCTGGCGGGAAGGAGATAAAAGCTCCGACTGTGCTGGGCCCCCGACTGTTCTGAACCCCAGGCCTAGGCCAGACCCCGGGGACCCAGGCTCACACAGAGGGAGCCGGGCTGAAAGGCGGAACCCGGGGAAGAGGCAAAAGGAGGTCCCGGCGGCGCCCCGCAGAGAAGGGACAGTTGGCTGTGCCACGGGATTGCCTGGCGGGAAGGAGACAGGGGCTCCAGACTGCTCTGAACGCCACCTCAAACTCCACTTCCAATTGAACTGAACCCCAATACCGGGCTCATTGCGGGAGAGACTAGACTGTTTGGCAGCAGGCGAAAATCGAGGGCGCCTTTCTCTCAGAGGCGCTTACAACAAGTACTGAAGGACCCTGAGTCTCAGGAGTCGCATAGGGCGGGGCTGACGGAAGCCAAAGCTGTAGGCTCCACTCTGAAACCCCGCCCCATCAGGAAAGCTGCCTGCGAAAATGCCTAAACCAAATAGATCACAAACGAAAGAAATGGAGGACAAAAAGCGACTGGATATAGAGTTCAAATCTACGCTTATAAGGTTTTTCAAGAATTTCCTAGAAAAGATGGATAAGACCTATGAGGATATGAAAAGTGATCAACTAGAATTAATAAGGAGTCATCAAGATATGATAAGGGATCAACAAGAAATGATATGGAATCAACAAGAAATGAAGAATACATTGTCTGAAATAAAAACTATTATACAGAGTCCTAAAAACAGAATAGAAGATCGCAAGAATCGAGTCAAAGATTTGGAACATAAAGAACCAGAAGAAACTCCTCTGCAGAAGCTAGAAGGCAAGAAAATCCAGAAAATTGAGAATCAAGTCAAAGATTTGGAACATAAAGAGCCAGAAGATACTCCTCTGCAGAAGCTAGAAGGTAAGAGAATCCAGAAAATTGAAGATGATGTAAGAAA